AGCTCCTCAGTGCTGGAACTGGTATGCGGACCCCAAAACCTGACAACTCACCTGTGTGCTCTTCATATCAGACGTGATCCCCTCCGTGTATGCTTCTCCAGTTTGCAGATTTCCCAGGACATTCTTACACACGCCCAGGTCACACCGTGGCAGACATTTCAAGCAGCCCTAGGGAGGTGCATGGCTGAGAGCTTCTTCAGTGTTTCTGTGCCCTCAGCAATCTGGACTGAAGTGCTCAGGGTCTCGTTCTCAGAACCAGATCTTTTGGATGCTCTGGGTCAGGTACACTTTCCTGAGACCCTCAGAGGGAAGGGAATAGAGAATGGCCTGTGAGTCCATGAGTCCTCCTGCTGCCCAGGGTGAGACTGCTACTTGGAGTAGAACCAGACTTCTCCCCATGGACCCTCACTCTCCACAGCTTACAAAGTGCTTTTGTTGGCCCCAGAAAGCAATCTGTTGCCCTTAGTAAATGTGTTCCCAATAGCTCATGAAGTCACCTTATTTTCTTTTTGGGCCAGCTTTCCCATTTGGCACAGTCAGGGAAGAAGTCAGTTGGGGCGAGGTAGATATTGAGTGGATGAAAGACATGGATGAAAGTGATTGCTCTAAACAACATTGTTGATTTGTTCGACATCTGGGTCCCCTTGGGGACATCAGCAAATAGAGCAAGTTTTCTGCAAAAGCATTTTGCTTTCATCATTCACAGCAGAATGAACATAGTGTGCATAGAGAGTCCTGGGCACACCATAAGGAAGCAAGACGCTGCCCAGCTGCCAGCTGTCCACACCCACACCAGTGTACTGTGACCCATGTTGGGCCTGTGCCAGGCCACACTGTTTCCTTAGCTGTCATCTCTGTGTCTTTGGAGAGGTGTGACATGGAGTTCTACAGGCCACGCCCGAAAACCTCTCCTGTCCCAGCGCCCCTGCTGCCTCCCGGAATGCTTCGTCTTGTGTCTGTCTCCTGGCTTCTCCCTGAGCTCTCTGGCTGCCACCCTGGTGTCTTACCCCTCTGTACCTGTGACCAGGAGCTATGAAAGCAAAGGAGGAAAGCCAGCAGGTGAGAGGTGGCAGAGAATAGCAACAGGGGCAGCCAGCTGGGGATCTCTGCCCGCCCAAAGGCAGCTGCTGCTCAATTCCAGCTCATTTTTTAGGATGACATAGTTCAGGCTGAATGTTCTAGAGTATCACATTTTCCAAGAGACTGGAAAACCTGACTTCAGTATTCTATGACGTTTCCTAGTTTTAAATGCTTGCCAAGTAATTTAAAGTTGTTTTAAATATGCTGTGAACTAAATAAAATGTTTCTGAGGGTTGGGGCTGGTCTCAGTTCTTTCACTGATATTCTCATTCTCCCTCCCTTCATCTCTCCCTCCGTCTCTCTTTCTCCCTCTCCCTACATGCACTGGGGATCTTGCCTGAGCTCCCAGCTTCCGAACCCTTACCCAGGTCTGCAGGGCTGGTCATCTCCGACCTCACGAGCACAGCTGAGATGATCAGCCTTACAGATTTGGCAAGATTCTGACACCTTTAGTCACCTAAAAAACAAGTAGAGATTCCCCAAAGATGAACACACTTCTTTGGGAACTGACCCTGCAGTGGGAAAACCAGAGCCACCATCAACTAGGAGCGTGCTCACAGGGCAAGGAATATTACAGGAGTTACCTCGGAACAATCCCCCTGCCGGCAGAATCAGTAGCAAAGGCAGCATTAGTCTAAGGGTGAACTGCAGGTGTTGGGGTACATGTGCTTGAAGAAGCCTTCTCTGTGTCCAGTTCCGGGCACAACCTTCGTGTCCTCCAGGCTACGCACTTTGGTTAGTGTTTGATAAATTATTCCATTTTGATTCAGGAGATTTTCACAGTTTCCAAAAGGGCTTGTTTTGTCTTTCTGCTATGGGATCAAATACTACAAAATGGTACAAATAAGGACCCGTAGGTGCTGTTCCACCCCTGGCTTCTTTACTGAGCCCATCTGGCCATTAGTCCAACAGGGAGGATACTGCCACCTTGGCCTGTGGACATTGACCGCAGCCCCAGATGGACTGTGCTTGTTGCTTTTTCACAGCCTTCTAGGGCTTGCTTCCAGCATCTCTTCCCATTAACTACAAGCTGTCCGAGTTTCTGAACTTAGGTGTCTTCTCAGCTGTTGTCTCAAACTGAGTATTCACTTGCTACTAGTCCTTGCCTCTCCTTGTGGAGTTTATCCACAGCCAGAGTCCTCTCCCTGTTCAGAGGGTGGCTCTGGTCACTCACCTCTTTGTACACTTCTCGTGAGCCCAGCTAGCCTCCCGTGGAGTTCTGCAGCCATCCATGAGGGCCATCTGCCCCCAGCAGCGCAGTCTACACTAGGCGCTGGACTGCATCTGTGTGCTTGTGCTGCCTGGTGCCGAGGCGTGACTGTCTTCCTCGTTGTCTTCACCCCTTGTCAGACGCCACCTCTTTGAGATCGTTGGCTCCCTCATCAAGACCCATGCTCTTTGCTGGACCTGTTCCAAGGCCTCCTCTGCAGCACTCTTGTCTGCGTCCATTTCATCCTTCTGTGTACTGCAGTGTCCGCCTGCCTCTTCCCCCTTCTCTTGACTCAGTGGAGAGACACTGTCTTTGCCATCTGCGAATACCCCAAGGCCCAGTGGACTGCCTTGCATACAACAGATACCCTGCAAGCCTCTGTAAACAGAGGAAAGGAGGTTTTTTGTTGTTGTTGTTGTTGTTTTTAAGTAGAGGATAGCTACACCTGAATGACTCAAGCCAAGATATTAAAAACCAAATGCAAACAAAACTGTTTGGTTATTCATAAGGATTTACAGAATCTCAAGAGAAAGTATCATGCTAGTGAAAGGGTTATTTTGCCTGTCCCCAGTTCCTGGGAAGTGGCTTTCTGAGGAGGAGCCATCACGGTTAGGTCTGATTGTCCTCAGGCGGTGCCTTTTCCACAGTGCCAGGGGAGGGAAGAACGGGCAAAGTCTCCCAGTCACCAGTGCTTCTGCCACCCTGGAAAATGGTGCTGCACACTGTTCCTCTTGCCCAGCTCAACAAGCCTTTCCCACACATTCACAGGATGTCTTCTGCCTGCATGGCTGGCAAGCACCTGGGTCTACCCTGTTGTCCTTTCTCCTGAGGGTTTTTTTTTTTTCCCCCTCAGCATTGTTATTTGTTAATTAGCCCTTAGAATAGCACCTGCTTGTCTGTCAGGGATTGTATCCCATGACCTTCCCAGGGAGACAAGCTACTCGTTTTTGTTTTGCTTTGTTTTTGCTTTTTGTAATTGTTTTCCCTTCCTTGTCTTCCTGGAGAAGAAAGTTTATCCAAAGGGACTCAAACTGTATGAACTTCCAGCTCTTAGAGAATGGAATAATTTATAAAACATGTAATTCCTAAATCCACATTAATGACTCGAATGGCTTACAGTGAAAACTGCTCTGATTGGATCTATGTAGTGTTGCATGCTTATTTTATTTTGAGTCCCACTCAAGTCTGGTAGCCCCTCAGGTCTTTTAACCAATTTAAAGTTTCCCAGTGAATTTAAGAATTGATTATCCCGGCTCTGACCAGTATCATTTCAACCAGTCAGTTTTTACATTGAATAAATTTGATAAAATTGTGATTTTTATATTTCTTGTTATAAAAATTGATGAAAAATAGCAGTTTTGAGTCATCCTGTATTTGAATAATTGGACTGATGAGTGGTTAAGTTTTGTCATTCGTGAGAGGAGAAGCCATTAAAACTCATCAGTGTCTTCATTTTTTATTAGTTCTCTTTTAATGCTTTTTTCAGAAAGCCTTGCAACCTTTTTCCTCTGTGTTATTGTTTTCATGGGAGCAGCATGACATTAGAGGCTGTAGGGCGTAGCCATCTCGCATGATGGGGTGGCCACCTCCAAATACTACTTCACAGTTCTGAACAGTTGAGATTCTTTTTATTTACTCTCTAAATCAACTCCAAGGCAGTCTCTATAAAAACAGCATTACTTCTGTCTTGTATTCACAAATCAGACTTGGAAAGGGGTGCTCAGGGACTAATGTAAGTTGTCATAAATTTGTTTCAAAGTAACTTGATTTAAATAAAAACAAAACTTTTTTATCTAAGGCAGCTTTTAAATTTAAATAAAAACAAAAACTTTTTTATCTAAGGCAGCTTTTTTTTAAATGGGAAATTAAGTTAGTTGTATTGTTTTTTAAATAGAAAACCACACTCTAGCCATGAAAAATGAATTGCCCTCTATGAGTTCATTTTGCAAAAGCATCCTTAGCCAAAATATTTTGATAGGAACTGAACACCAAGGAAGTTTCCTAATTGATGGAAGGATAGAGAATTTTTATACAAGTGTGGCTCAGATGCATGGTGTCACTTAGTTTTTAGGCTATGCAGCAATAGGCTCTCATCCTGAAAGCTCTTTCAGAATGGAGGGAGGACAGGCACCTTGAAGAAGACCTTTTCATCTAGAACAATGTGTCTTTTTTGCATAAAGTGGCCAACGCTGTGTTTGAGGGAGACAGACTTAAGCTTTTACCCTTGCTTCTGCTTTACACAAATCTTCAAAAATAATGATTCTCACTCTTCCATCTGCGGTCGGGGAAGAGAGCAGGAATCCAGGCAGCTGGGTAGGTCTCTAAAAAATGGCACAACTGTTCCTAAAAGTAGCTCCATTCATAAGATGCCTGCTGCCTGCAACGGCAGGGTTGGAGAAGACACACTATTTTATAAAGAGCTTCTTTAAGGAGGAAAGAAAAACACATGGTATTTACAGAAGTGAAACCTGGATCCTTCAGCCTTCGCTGAGTGGCCATGTCTGAAATGGAAGTGGGGAAGGCCATAAATCCACGCAAGCAGTTGCACCTCTAAGGCATGATTCATACTGGCAATGCTGCCTATAATGGAAAATCCAGCTAGTTAAGCAAGATCAACCAGAAATCCAGGGCTGATGCTTGCTGTCTTGTGACTAGCTGTTATATGTGAAGGAATGATTGATTCTGTCCCTCTCTCTCTTTCTCTCGCCAGTTCATGACCAAGAATCCCACCCTGCGCCTGGGCAGCCTGACACAGGGAGGTGAGCACGCCATCTTGCAACATCCTTTCTTTAAGGAAATTGACTGGGCCCAACTGAACAATCGTCAGCTAGAACCACCTTTCCGACCCAGAATTGTAAGTATGAAGACCACCGCAGTAGACTTCCTCTCCCTGAGATGATCTCAGCTCCTTGTGGTGGTGGTGGTGGGGGTCTCCTATGGAATGATAGATTACAAGTTGTCCTGACACAGTTTCCAGGGCAGCCTCCCTTGGGAGAAGGCTGTGCTCTTTGTTCCCAAGATAGCATCTTTCCTACACCACGTTACTTCTCACAGAACCTTCCCCTCTGGCTTGCCCTGGTTCCATCCCCCTTTCACCTGGTTCCTGGCTTGGAGAGCCCAGGTTGGTAACAGCTACTGTGAGGTTAAGTTCTGGCCAATGGAGGAGGCCAAGCCCTTTGGTGAAATCCTGAGAGCGGCTGGCTGCCTCTCCGAGCTGTGTACCAACGGCAGCACCTGTGGCATGGGCCGGTGCCTGCTCCCAGAACTGAGCCCTGGCTTGTCTATGGGTTCGGAGAGGCATATAGTTAGCAGAAGATCAAGACTCATGGGGAAGAGGACTGGTCCAAATGCAGAGCAAAAAATCGCTGAGTCAGGTTCAAGAAGCCAGAGGGTGAACCCTGGTGGAAGTGGTCTTGTCAGCATTAGTTCATAAATATACACAATCATACACAACTTTTTCAGACAGACCGCAGGCTTACTCTGTAACACTCTGTGAGTCCCTGGGCAGCAGGCAGCACAGGGCCTCCTCTCAGCCCCCACCAGTACCTATGGGATTAGGTGAAGCTTGGCTTTCAGAGGCTGGTACTGGCGGTCCTGACTGCCCAGCCAGCCCCACAGGACAGAAGGCATCTGACCAGTGAGTGACACAGCAGCAGATTTCCCTAGCTCAGCATTTCATAGAAGACTGGAAAGCAGTTTCTCAAGTATATAAGATCGTGTACAAAAGAAGTAGATAAAATGAACGCACATTTATATGACCTCAGTTGACAAATTCAAGCTCATGTGGCCCCTCAGGGAGGTTGGCTGGGAAACAGGGCTTCCGTTGAAATAAAGAATAAAGGTGGAGAGAGCCGGCTGATTTGGGTGATCAAATTAATTCTGTAGCCTTCCAGTGGAAAGCTGTCCTGCTCAGCAGGATTTTCATGGGATTAGTGAATTGATGGTTACCAAATGCCCTAATAATACACAAGGCAGTGGAATTGCCGTAAAGCAGTGTTTAATCACAATGATTGTACCTGTAAATAATGCCACTGAGCCAGCAGCAGAGCAGTTCTCTGAGGCTGTCGGGATGGGATGATTCCCAGGCAAGATGAGTAAGCTTCAAGTACATAAAACCTGACCCTTGTTTCCTTTTTATTTTTTTTTTTTGACAGAAATCCCGAGAAGATGTCAGTAATTTTGACCCTGACTTCATAAAAGAAGAGCCAGTTTTAACTCCAATTGATGAGGGACATCTTCCTATGATCAACCAGGATGAGTTTAGAAACTTTTCCTATGTGTCTCCTGAATTGCAGCCTTAGTCTGGTGGGGAAAGACAGATGGTAGGAGGACCCAAAGGGAATGAAGACTTCCAGGAATTTTCTTTGTGAGGACTTCTCAGCCTCCGCCTTAGTACATAACCTCACCTTCAGGGAGCCTTGTGAAGGATGGAAGTCCAAGAGATCGACTGTCTCAAGTCCAGAGAAAGCCATGGCACTGGAAAGAGTTGACCTAGAAATGAGATTTTATAAAGACATCACTGCTTACTCTGTGAGTGTCCGTGGCTACTTCCGGCTTGGGATATTAACAAGAACCAAAAGGAGAGAACGTGAAGAATAAAGTAGGTTCTACTCCTGAGGGAAACTGTCTTTTTACTTTGAGACAGAAATCACAACTTTCTGTGAATCGCTCGGTGCCCTTGGTTAAGCCACTGAAGCACAGTGCAGTCTGCAAGCAGACTCTAAATGCTAATCAAGAATTTAAATGTCTTTTCAAGGAAATGAGAGGTTCCTTTCGAAATTGAATGATTGACTTCATTTTTACTCTAAAGAAGCAAAAACTGTTATCCTTCCAACTCCCAACTCAAAGCCCCATGTGGGAAACAGATGTTGGCACCCAGACAGCTGCTGCAGCAGGTCCTCTGGCCCTGACTTTCCTGGGAGAGATATTTGTTGAGCATCCAGTGACAAGGTGCCCCCATCCACAGTAGCATAAACAGCAGCTCTGCCTTTGAAGCTTCCATTCTCCCTGGGTCTTTGAATTTACCTGAATAGTGTTTGCATTCTGTGGAATGCCTCTCCACGTCACCTGTGCCGCACATCTTCGTCTGTGCAGACCTCTCTTTCTTGCAGAAGGATCGCTGCCAGCCCCCTGGGCTCAGCAGCAGGTGAGCTTGAGCGGTGTGTTGCCTACTGCTCTGTGGATCCCAACCGCGTCCACATCACCCTGAACTCATGGCTGAAGACACGCACGCTGTTTATTTAATTTATGTTGTCAGACAGAAGGAAATTTGTTTAAATGTATACTTTAATGGTTAGAAATGGATCCTGTAAACAGGGCATATAGCAAGAACAGACCTTCTCATGTACAACCAAATATGACTGGAGAATTTTATGTGGCTGGAAATAAATACATTTTGTAGCAAAAAGAAATTTTGTTTTTGTCCAGAAAGATTTTACCTCTTCTCACTTGGAGAGAAGATTTCCAATTAAAATAAAAGCTCTGAGCAGAGCAGATAGAATTCAAGGCAGATTCCTGAGAGGAGACTCGTGTGCTTCTGTGCATCTTTAAAATGAATGCTTCCTGCCTCTTACTGACCTACACTTTTGTTCCAAACCAGAGTAAACCTGGGAACATCAGTGCTAGGGAGAGACTCACTCATATAAAGCGGCCTTCCGTGGTCTGCTTTATCTTCTGGCTATGCCATTGGCAAGTGTAGCTCCCAAGGTCACCAGAATCAGAGAAGAAATGGAGGAGAGGCTCGCTGTTTAGCTGCTGCTCCTCAGAAGGCTGTGTGCCACCTTTTCCCATGTAGGATTGGCTAGGATGTAACTTGCATCTGGCTCCTGGCAGGTTGGGAAGTTATCTAGTGGCTGAGGAGGACTTCCCTAGTACTGAGCATCTCTGTTGTAGGTTCTTTTTCATGTTCCGAGGTGGAGAATCTCTCTTGAGCCGATAGATTTGTGCAGCACTTAGCATTTCCCAGGAGGGCCGGTCTGTATCATTTTGCAGCATCTTCATATGAACTCTGGAGGCAGGCAGGTCATGCTGCCAGTTCCACTACTGACCGCATGAATACTGCGGCTCATCTTACAGGTAAGGAGTAGAGAGAGGCTTGGAGAGGCTGAGTTCATTGATTTCCCAAAAGTACCAGACTGGGAAGGGGTGAATCAAGGTCTAGAGTCTAAATCTTTAAGTTCCAATCCTACAGGCCTCTAGGAAAGGCTGACTTTGAGGCCATTTTGGTCTTGTATCCATTGTGCAGGTCCAGGTCTTCCATTGTTCATGAGATTGATTAGCTTCCTGATATGGTTCGGTCCATTCTTGGAAAGAATCATGAAAAGTAAAGCATGCCTCCTGTTCCATTCACAAAGTTCATCACCCTCACCAGCCACAGGGCCTCTGCACTCTGATGAGTCTTGTGTACTGTTACAGTCAGGTGGTGGCTTTGCTAGGATGGGGTTTCCAGTGCTCCTGTTGCTTCCCTCTTTAATATGTAAGGAGAGAGGATGTACAGAATAGTTACCTAAAACTCAAGAGGACCTCCAGTCTCCGGTTAGAGTTCTGGTTCACATCCTCCCTCAGTTCCCTTGACCCTTGTCTTCTTCAGGATCATAAGGCTGCTCCTGGCTCTTCCTGTAGCAGGCTGGGGTGGGCTCACAGCAGGCTACACCATCCGCAAGGACCCTCATGACCCTGGATTTGGTGGGTAGTGCAGGGACCAAGACGCGGTCACTCAGGACCATGTTGCCTCTCAGGAGAAGAATCCTTAGCATCCCCTTCCCCCAGTGGGTCATCATCCCCACACCCGTCTGTTCCCCCCTCCCAAGCTGTCACTCACTAAGTCAGACACATACAGACCTTGAGTGTCTGAACAGACTCAAAGCCTGTGCTCTGCACTGCGCATTAGCAAAATTTGACTGCAAAAGATGTTTCTACTTAATACCACCTAACAGTAATTTTGTTCTTTACACATAAGGCCCTGGTCTAAATACTCCCCAGTTCCCCGTGAGATAGGTGCTTTCACCTACACTGTATAGGTGGGGAAACTGAGGCACGAGGAGACTACCCTCCAAAGTCACAACTGAAGCAGTCTGGCCAGGATTGAGACGAGGCTGTTTAGTGCCAGAGCCCCTACTTTTAGCTCAAATTAGTGAGATTAGTTCTTCAATTAAAGCCAATTCTTTTTCCTGCTTTTGTGGGGGTTTTAAGAGCAATTAAAATTGTGAAATCTGGGGTTAGCAGGGAACAGGAGACAAATTGCCAGCCAGGCAGTACAGCCTTAGTCATTCCCTCACAAACCCACTTATCAGTGAAATTGTATGATTTGCATTTCAAGGGCCCAGATTGCTCCCCCTCCCCCAAAAGGAAACAGAGCAGGCCGAGGTGATGCAATTGGGACTCTGACCTCCCTGAAGAAGAGGAAATAGTCTGGGTCATCCTGGATCCTGTAAACCACTGCTGAACCTTGGTGGAGTTTCCAGTCCTTGCCTGGCCCCTCCCCAAGGCCTTGCCACGCTCCAGTAACCCCATCACCCACTCGCTAGCTGGGGCACAGCAAGGGGGGAAGAAAGCCGGCGACAGCTGTCATAGCCACAGAGCTGATGTGACTTGGTTGCAGAGAATAGTGCAGAAATAGTAACGCTCCGTCCGTCAGTCTTTGCTCTGAATCAGGTCACCATACCTTGAAAGCTTGCAGGTCACCATTTGGCCTTGGCCATTTCCTTGCCAGACCGTAAAGCTTTGCTTACTTGTTCTGATTGCTTCTGTGGCGGGGTTGATTTAGAATGACTAGACAGCCTGCTGCAATCGCCCCCGGCTCAGAGGCACTCTGGTTCCTAGAACTTCTCATTTTACATCATGCAAGGATAAGACTCAGACCCGACCTAAAATATTTACCATGGAAATGAGCCCTGCGGTTGTATGTTCCTCTGGACTGAGCTGCAGGTTGGAGGTTGGGATGGGGGACGGGGGAGAGCAGCTATAAACACAGCTTTGTAGTCTCCCTTTCTTCCTGTGTTGAATTAGGACCAAAGCCCAGCGAGGCAGCCAGCTTCACGCTGTCCCTTCCCCGCCCCACTGTCTTGTCTATCGTTTCCCTCCACTCCTCTCTGCTCCCTCCCCAAGTTAGTTCTGTACTCCCTCCCTCCACTGCTTGACTTTTGGAACCAAACCTGTTGGTTAGCCGGTTTCTTAACCACCAAGATGACAGAATCTTGATTTGCCTATTAATGTTATAGACTTGTTTAGAGTCCAGACTCGGCAGGCGCCTTTGCTATCAGTGTTATTTCTGCATCTGTTATCACCCCAAGTCAGCTCTTCTTCTAGGAAAGACTGGCTAGGAGAGCACCCCTCCCTCCCTGAGAGGCAGGACACCACCTGGGAAGAGTCCTGGCCTGGTGCTGAACGCACACTTCCTGTGTGTTCCTGAGCAAAGCTTGTCACTTCCTTAATTTAATATTATTTGTGAAATGGAGTAAGGATAGCAGCCACCTGGCCCGTGTTAATACTGTAGCGATGATCTACGGTAAAATATGTCAAGCATTCACTACAGAGCCAAGACCGAGAACACACAGGCATGCTAGCTGTGTCACCGTCAGCTAATCCAGAGGGACTGTGGGAACCTTGCTGGTGAAGGAAAGTGGACAAAAGCAGGACACCCTGTCTCATGGGCTGCAAAGTCTTCTCAGGACACTTTTTAAGAACTTGTACAAGGACATTTTGAAGGAATTCTTTTGTCCTGCTGAATGTAATACAAAGATGCATGTAATGCACTACTGACCATTAGCACAAGGAGTGCACCCAACATCAGTACCACATGGACACCCTACAGATACTGTACTGCCCACCCAGTGCCATGAGGGAGGGGCCCGTGCTCGAGGTGTCAGAGCATCCTGGCAGGCCTAAGAGCTTGAAGCCAATGACAGAGTCAAGGGCCTCTCCTCCTTTGGCTATCTGTGAAGCTTTCCAGTAAAACAAGAGCCTCCATAGTCCGGGGCAGTGTTTCGGAAATAGCCGCAGCACCGTGTCCCCATGCAGTAGCCTTTCATGGCCATCCAAGCTTTCCTCATCCCATCAAGGTAGTTGTTACTCCACAGAAGCCACATTTTCCCCCAGGATTGGACCACAGCCAGAAGTGGGCTAGAGAAAGCCAAGACCCTGTGGGCGCCGAGAGTATTCAAACATTCAAGTGGGTGGCAGAGGGTAAAACAGAAAATCTTTGGAGACATTTCAAATTAGAAACAGAGATAGTCCAGCAGTCATTTGACATGACGATGCCAGAAATAACCTGCATGACATGTCAGGGTTTTCCAGCTCTTTGCTCTGATAACTAGAATGAGTGGAGGGAGGTGGTCAGTCAGCCTCTGCCATTAGGCACCACTGTCACACTCCTGTCACACACCAAACTGTGTCACCTGTCTTTCCTCCTGTCCGTCCCTGGGCTCCCTTCATATCAGGTGCCCCTCTGCACCCTCTCTGTGTGCTCTCTCAAGCCAAAACTCGCTTAGGCTCTCACACGTCACTGGTCCCTATGGTCACACGTGTTTCATGGTCGTCTGTCCTGTTTCTTAGGATTATTCATACATGGGAAAGAAGAAGACTTTGTGTAGCTAAAATCAGCACAAGAAATGTCAACCTCCTAGCGTCCAATAACAGAGCAAGTGAGGTGAAACAAAGCAGGAGTCAACTCTGCTCTTTTTTTCTCAAAGAGGAGCATTTTCCAGATAAAAAAAAGGGTATGGTACTCATTAATACAAAGAATTGTAGCCCTGGTAATTAAAGAGATGTAAGGCACTCAAGGATTAGAAGCAACTTGTATCACAGAATTATTTAAACAGTAATATAAACTACTTATGAAAGCACTGGGAGAGGTGGTGTTAGTCTGGAGGACTATACAGAATTCCTAAAGAATAGGTCCTGAAAGCCTAACCTCATTTTTTTTCTTTGATGATTACTAAACTAGTTATCGAGGACAAGGCATGCACTTCATAGTTCAACATTAGCAATATACATGGCAGAGTCTCACCATGTTGCCTTGTGACCAAGCTGGATTCAAAATAACATGCTCCTCTATGTATGGGTATTATTATATCAGTTTTGATCTGGAGTGAAACCCTTTTCCTGTCTAATTTGCTTGCTGGGTTACCCCTTCTCCATTTGGATTAACAGACACATTTCAGACCCTCCTTTAATCTAACGTGAGATTTCCACATCATGGCCAAACACAAAAATCAAACAAAGGAGCAATGGGATCATGCCCTCCCAAGAGATTCTGACACAGATGAGCAAACTTGACAAACTCATTTTTGTTGAGGCACCTGCTATATTCCAGGCACATTCTGGTTGCTGGAAAGCCTACAGTGAAAAACGACCCAAAGAGTCTTGTATGCATACAATTCACATTTTAATCAGGAGAAGTTACATGTTTACT